CATGTCTAACATGGATAGCAAGGATACAGATTTTTGAATTTTTTTTAATTTGTTTTTGTGGTGTCTCTGAAGATTTCTGACAAAAGGATCATACAAAAGACGGTTCTAAAATGGCAGCATCTTCCCTTGTTGCTGTGTGATATTAACTTGATTTTGTCTCCTTCCAAGTAAATTTCTGAGTAGGCTTAAGTCTGTCCTCCTGATACCCAGGGTTCTTATCCTGCTATCTGTTCTGCATTCACAGGGACCTAGACTCCAGCACCTCATGTTCACTGCCAGAGCTGCCCCCAGACTTCACATCAACAACCAATTCTTCCTTATTTGTAATGATCAGGTCCAGCAGAGTGTTTACTCTCATTGTTTCTTTAGTCATGTGTGTCAGGAGATGATAGTCAACACAATTCAGCCCCCCTGCCCTGGATTGCTTGTGCCTTGCTGTGTTATCCTTCCAACAGAAATCAGTCATTGATCAGTGATCCTTCTCAGTGAGGACCAGTGCCAACAAAAGTGAGCCTTCTTACAGCAGTTGGAAGAAAATGTCTGTGATAGACACCCAGCATGTAACTCATTTTGGCCTGCCCTCTAAGCCTAATGCAGAGGCTTTCAGCTGGCTCATCATCTGTCCCAGGATGGAGCTACATCCATCCCCACTGCTTCCTCACGTGAATAATAAGTCACCCTCCTTGCCACACTGGCCTGGCCTTCCTTCAGAGCTTGCAGCCATCACTCCAGCTGTGGGAGCTACCTTGCAACATTCCTCATTCCTTCTGCCTGCTCCATGTACTGCATGCGTCAGTGTACAAGTAGGTAAGAGAGGTGCTCAGTCATGCTGATTTCACAGAGATCTGAGAGCTCCTCCACAACAGTATCCTGTAGGCGTCCTTTATTTCTGAGCATACACTTTGATTTTAATCTTGTATCTGATTTCGAGGCTCTCCAATCCATCCTATGGCACTTTCTTACCATCAGTCCACCCACCTCTCTGGATTATTGGTGTCATCCCTTCCCACATCACTTGGCCAGCATGCTGGCAGAGATATCTGGGAAGCTTTGTTTCAAGTTTATTTTCATCTTAGTACTACATCTAGAAAAATTTTGATTCAGAATCACAATCCCTGCAAAGGTTTGGTGAGGAGAATAAAGCTACTACTTTGAACTAGGTTTGCTTAAATACTGTTTGTAAAGAGTCCAGTGTAAATATACTCCTTCAAGCAGAGTATCACATCTCTAAATTACAAAAACATGTAGCACACAGTCTATTATAGTACAAAGACCAGTATTTTCAATTTGATTCTGTCCTTGACCTCTGTACTCAGACTGCCACCAAGGGGAAAAACTGTGATGGTGACAGTGTACATAGCTGTCCCTACAAAGTACACTGAGCTCCTTGGCTCAGCTCACACCATTTGTTGTCATTTGTTTATGTAAGCTTAGTTCCACAATGCTGTGTCTGCACTTGAATTCACTGCATAGAGCGCTTATTCATTCCCCTGCAAATTGTTGGATACCCGTGTTTGTGGATTGTGCTCTATAAATAAACAACCATAGGAAGACAGCGGGAAGCAACTGGTGCACAGTCTGGTTGGAAATGGCTACTCCATTGCTTACTGCCAGTTGACTGAGTTGGCTTTTTCCTTAAAACTGATTTATCCTTGTGACCACAACTAAAATTCTAGTTCTCTAAACATTAAAATCTTCAGTGTTGCGGAGTTGAAAAAATGTTTTAAATAATAATTTGACTCATACTACTTTTTATTATGCAGTCATAGATTAAACTAAGAGAGCTCCTACAATAAAAGCTTTTTTCTGCCATTTCTGTTGAAAATCTCAGCTTTTCTGTGCATTTTCTGTTGCTATTCCTAATGGAAAATGTTACAGAAATTCACAGCCTATTAATGTAGAAAAAAACCTTTAGCTGCAAAATCACTGTCACAAGCTAATCCCTTTGCTGGCCTCTTGGAAAATTCAAAGGTAGAAGGTTTCTTCCCTCTTCAATTAAGTACAGTTCCAATAAGTACACACCTGATTTTAAAAATCTTCCTATAATATTCAAAATATGCTGCCAGTTTCAAACATCAGAATGGGAAGTCATATATGATGTTTATCAAGCCTGGCAGCTTAGCACAATATGCTTTACATTAGAGGTTATTCTCATGTTTATGAGTTACTGATATTTTAATTTTTTAAATTTAATTGTCTCTGATTTCGCAGAACCCAGCAACCATTTGACATCACTGATTTGATCTATGCACGTTGATTTCAGAATCAATTGAAATTCTTGCCCAAATTCTGTTCCTTTCTGTTTACATGAGAAGTACAAATCTGCAAGACCTGTATCAGGCTTCCACAGATGTGGATGAGGATCGCTTGCTGGCATCATTTCTAAACCAAACTCATTTCCCAAGTTGATCCACATGATTATTAACCAAGGCAAGGTTTAAGCTGTTTACATAGTTGTGCTGGCATAGCTACCTCTGTTAGGACTGAGAAAAAATTCACCCTTGAATTGCCATAATGATGTTAGTCTGCAAGCAACCTTCCATCCTTCCTGCATTACTCTCCTGATTGGGGTATAATTGACTTAGCAGAGGAGCCTTATTGCCTAAAACTCTTGTCTCGTTGAACCAGCTAAGTGCTTTAGCTGTAGCTCCAAAAAGACTTCATTAATATCAGCAGTCTCAACCGGGCAGAGATGGAAGTACAGCTAAGTTATAATTACAATTACAAGATGAGTTGCCAAATATTGCAGAGGTCACTGGAGGTACACAGATTAAAAAAAGATGCTGTGCCATGCCTAACACAAAACACTATGCTTCTGATTTACTTTTGTTGAAGACCTCAGACTAATTTAAGAGACTGTGATGTCTCTCACACACATGAATTAATCTTATTAAAAATTACTGGCAGAAGTTAATTTTTATTTTTGTGAAATTTGGGTTGGTGTCCTGTCTGTTTCCAATAACATGCAGTAAGTATCGTAAGACTAGTGACCTAGATTTTTCAGATGCAGCCAAATTTCTTCCAATTTTAATTCTTTTGGGTATGGGACAATAGAGTCCTTTGAAAACATTTACCATAGATTTTTCATGACTAATTGTGTTATTGACAAAGCTTTTTGGGTATAGATGTGATCCTGAAGGAACCTTTTTGGGAACATAACGCTGTGTACAGGTTTTGAAGAGAACAAAATTAAGAGAAATAAGAACATTTCCCAAATTGGCAGGGAATGAAGAAAAATTTTTTTCTTTGGTTTGAAAGAAAATTTAAATGTGATCAATTATTTTTTTTTACTATCAGTTCTGTGACACTGAAAGAAGAAAATCTGTATTGATTTTGATCTTCTAAATGGGATTAATGCATGTATTAAAACTACTGTATGTTTTGTGAAAGCTTTGTAAAAATCTCTCTAGATAGATGGCATCGCCATTGATAGATGCTGGGGTGAGGTTTTGAAAGCTGCATTCAAGGTGTAGGTTTCTGTTGCTCCTCAGTCTGAGTGGAAAGTAGCAAACTTGAAATCTCAGTTTAAAAATGGAAATATTGGCCTTTTGAAAGACTACTCTTGAAAGTTTTAAGACAATATCAACTGACTTTTCCGTGTTTCCTGTGTTAAATCTGATCTTTATTTCAAAAAGAAGTGTAATATTATATATAATAAAGAGTCTGTTGATATTTAGGGAATTAAAGGCTTCAAAGTAATTTTGGAGCAGCCAAAGACATTTGATGTTTGAGGAAGTGAACAGAAATACATTGCTATCTGTGCAACAAGATTCCAGTACAAAGCAGAAAAGAAAGAACAACAGATAAACCAAGCAGTCTGTGTCACTGTTTTCACTACATGTGAAAAAAATTGTTAAGGGCAGTAACAGTAAAAAGTTTGATATTTTTTGAATGTGCAAGACAAATAGAAGCTTAAGGATCGTTTTTGGGAAATATCATGCTGAATAAACTGCTTTATTTCTATGTAGATGCTACTATTGAAATATTTGTATGCTTCATTGATGTCTCCATATTTGAATTATATTTTTGATTAATTCTTAAAATAATGAACACAGACCCTCAATTAGTAGAATTCTGCCTTTATTCTTTCAAAACTGGAGGTGAAATAAGTAGGTAATAAGTTCTCTTGGTAACGATAATTCCTCTCCTGCTCTGGTTACATATCTAGAAAATAATTAACAGGTTTTCTCTAATGCTTCCTACAGATGTTGAAACTATAGTACAAATATTGACTGAGAGGCAGCAAAATTTGCTTGGACTGGAAAAAAAAAATAATGGTTTATACAACCAAGTTTGCCAAAAACAAAATAGAAATTCTGGAAGCTCTGATTTACAGTTGTTGTCAAGGGGGCCAAATGTGTGTACATGCATTCACATATTTGCAGAATACACACGTCCCATCACCTTCAAGGCTCCACATAAGAGTGTTCTGGTTTCCAGATATTTTGCAGGGCTCCAGCTCCTGTCCTGAAGAGCTGGGCATGAGGTGGCTTTGGGTTGTCCTTTGGTTACATGAGGGAACCCATTGTGGGGATCTGAAGTGACTCTGGAATGAGCAGGATTTCAAAGATGTTAGCAGAAACTTGCAAGTATGATGTTTTCCTATGTTTATCAGTGAAAGAGAGGAAAGGAATTTGGGGAGGAGATAGAGGAAACAAGCCTGCACCTTGTGACTGGGTTGAGCATATTGGGTAAGAAGGACTTTGGACAGCAGTGTGTACAATAGCAGAGAAGGTGGAGGCAACTGGCTCTCCTGCTGTGAGAAGATGGGGTGGTTTTCCTTCCCTTTGTCCTCGCCACATATGTGCACACCCCTACCCCCACAGTGAGAGCTCTGCCTTTTGAGTTAGGTCAGAACAGAGCCGCTTTTGATCCTAGAGATGCTTGGCTAAAGATAAGGGTCAAAGACCACTGGAGCCCATGGATGTTATGCAAGGGGCTATTGTGAATGGGGCCCAGACTGCAGCCTTCATCAACCTGCCTCCCTGCTCCCCCTCCAATGCTGGCTTTGTTCCTCAGGGGGTTGCGAAAGCCTCAGGACTACATAAAGCATTCCCTGTCCGAACGTCCTGACCACTGCCGCCAAGACAGAGCTCTCCTGAGGCTGCAGGTAGGGGTGCTGTCTGTAAGGGATCTGCTGGAGTGGGCTGGGGGCAACTGGGGACCTTTCCTGCAGGTGCATCAGGAAAGCTGCACGATGTCCTGGGGACTTGTTGGGGCAGCTCTCCTCTCTTCCCTGAGAGTTGATGGAGGCCATTTCTGATTGTTTGGTTGTTTGCCTCTTTGCTGTTGCTGCAGGGACAGAATGGCCTACACAAGGAGATCTCTGCTGCTGCTGGCGCTGGCCTTCCTGGGCAGCAGCATGGCAGAGAGGGACTGCCGTGTGAGCAACTTCAAAGTCAAGGAGAACTTTGACAAGAACAGGGTAAATCTTTCTCTTCAGAGTCTTTGATATCTTGCCTAGTAGTCCTTCCTGGGCTACGAAATCTGGCATCGTGTGTTTATGTTTTCACTCTGACTGCAATCTCTAAAAGAGTGGAAGTGCATATTGATGCCTGTACCTTCACAGTACTGGATCCTGATACAACTGATTCAGGAATACTGCAAAAACTGAGGTTAGCAGACTGCTCTCAACTTTTGTGATGTAAATAGAAAAGGAGTGGACTAACTCAATCTTTTTTCTGCAAAAAATGCATGATGTTTTCAGAATGATTATAAAGGAAGACATATTTATATGTAGATCTGTCAAGATCTGCCAGTAGCTATTCTCTTTCCATCAATTTTTTTCTCAGTACAAGAAAACTACAAACAGAAAAAAGATGCCAGAAAAACAGTCAGTTCTTTCTTCTGTTTGCCCTAGGACATACTGGTGGTCTTACGCTGTTGGTACAACTAGATTTATTTTACAGATAAACTTCAAGGCACGGTGTCAAAGATCTATGTTTCATCCCCTCTGTCATCCTACCCCAATTTGCAGTGTCTGTTTCTAGTATTTTCCATGCTTGTAGGTCTAACTGCAGGCTTTTTCTTTTCCTTGCAGTACAGTGGCACCTGGTACGCCATGGCAAAAAAAGATCCTGAGGGGCTGTTTCTGCAGGACAATGTGGTTGCCCAGTTCACTGTAGATGAGAATGGACAGATGAGTGCCACTGCAAAGGGCAGAGTCAGACTCTTCAAGTAAGCTATTTGCAATCATTCTGTTGCAAATAGAATATTCTATTTCACTACCCTTCGGCTTTGCTTGATCTTAATCAAATCCAGCCTGCTCTCCTTGTGCTAGTCACAGTCTCACCAAGTCTGCTGTCAGGTTTTAACATGATATTTTCTTTCTCCCTGACTGCAGTAACTGGGATGTCTGTGCTGATATGATTGGCTCTTTCACTGACACAGAGGATCCTGCCAAGTTCAAGATGAAGTACTGGGGTGTTGCCTCTTTTCTGCAGAAAGGAAGTGAGTAATTAACTCTAGAAGATGTGGAGCTAATTGGGAGCCTGATTATGTTGAATATTGATGCTGGGAAAAAGTGCAGCATTGGATTTCTTGAACACTTAAACCGTGCAATGACTATAAAATAGCGAAGTCTTAATGAGAACAAGGTGATCACTATTTTTTTATGAGACATCTGGCTGGTTCTCTTTAAGCAAGAGAAGACCAGGCCTTTGTATATCTTTGTATTTATTTTGATTGCTACCCAATTATATAATCTAAAGTGACTATTCCGAAGAAATAAAAGGTAAATGTAGTATTTTTGTAGTATTTTATGCCTTATTTTATTTCAGAATTCATTTACTGGATGCTCCTGCTCTCTATGAAAAGCCTAATGTCAGACTTGGTCTAGTAGGGAAGAGGATTTTACGACTATTCTTTTGCATAATCTAATATCAGCAAATGCAGAGATTTATCTCTTGTTACAAATATCATACAGTAAATATATATTCATATTTTCCTGTCATCTTTCACACTCTATGCAAAATTAGTTTCTTGATGAAGTAGACATTCAGTTACTTGCAGCTCAAGACATTTATATGGATTGTTTCCAAGAGCAGCAGATGGAATTTGGAAGTGATTGAAGCTCCATTCTCTCCAAAAACTCAGTTAAAAAGAATGCTTTTGTTGCCAATTGCTCTTGAATTGTTGCTGAATTACCTCAAAGTGTGCTGATGAATCGTGTTTTCATGGATACTTCAGATTGCTGACTGACCTTGGACTCTATCTTCTTAAAAACTGTGGTCCCCACCCACAGGAGAAATGGGAAAAAGAACTACATTCAAATGGCAATTGTATTAATCTTTCACCTTAAATATATAACTTAAGTTGTATATTTATATAGGAGGGAATATTTATGACTATTTTGAAGCACAGCTAGTATAACAAAGAGCACTTTTTTCTTTTTTTTATTAACTATTTTGATCATACCTTTTTTTTGGGGGGGGGGGTAAGGGGGTTAAAATAACTTTGGTATTCATGGTAGTTCATACATGGTTCTGTTTTTTTGTGTTTGGTGCCTTATTTTATAATAATTTTCAGGCATAGATTTACAGGATGTTTACTACCTTTTTCTCGTGCCACTCTTGTTGTGTACCAGTGTTAGAGGAGAAGCAGTAGTGCCAATCCTTCCTTCTCCCCTTCATCATAGCCCCTAACATATGCTTATTTTTAAGATGAACAAACAAACTTTCTCTCCGAACATAGGATCAAATGCTGGACATAGATATAAACTAACAGCTAATTTGCTATCATTCATACCAGTACTCATTGAAATTTCTTTTGTTATTGTATTAAAGTTATGGAATTATGACAGCGATCTACATTTTATTTGTGTCTCTGTAACTCCCATGCTTGCTATGATTTCTTCCAGATGATGATCACTGGGTAGTGGACACAGATTACGATACATATGCTCTTCATTATTCCTGCCGTGAGCTAAATGAAGATGGCACTTGTGCTGATAGCTATTCCTTTGTGTTCTCCCGGGACCCCAAGGGATTGCCTCCAGAGGCACAGAAAATTGTTAGACAAAGGCAGATAGACCTCTGCTTGGACAGAAAATACAGAGTTATCGTTCATAATGGTAAGAATTATTTTTTTTTAATAATTTTATTTCAGAACTTAGTATTGGGAATCTCTTTGAATAGCAAATGCATTAAGTTTTATACTTAGTGGCTTTAATATTGTCATTTGAAAACTGGAGCTTGTAATAAGTGCATTTCAACTTTTACTTCCCTTATCAGAAGGAGAGCCAAAGTGTATAGCTTTTTATGTGGCATGTCATATCAGCTGAAGCAATAATTAAAGGAAGCTGTAAAACAATTAAATCAGTGTGTTATGATTAAACATAGTAACTTCTTAGTTGCTGTAAAAACAAATTTTATCTCTTTAATCAGAACTTTTACCTTCCTTGAAAGTAGTTGATGGAGGAAATACAATAGTGAAGAATGAAGAAAATAGATCAGAGTATTTAGGGCAAAGAAAATAGCATTGTTCCTCCATTCCTACCTTTGCATTCTGGAAGACAGGGTATCTTCAGAAGAGTTACTGGTGAGTCAGCTGGATTCCCAACATAGTGCCATGGACAAAAGAGTTAATGGGATTCTTGAATGCATAAGTCATGGATGTTTACAGACTCATATGAGGCATAGATGCTTGGCATGGGTCTGCTTGATATGTCATGTTTAATGATGTTGATAACTAGGAAGGATATGAGAATGAATTAGAAATTTCAAAGAAGAGCAAAGAAAGTGGTTGAAAGTTTGTTAAATGTGTCCAGCAGTGAGTGTCTGAAAGAGCTTCATCTTTTTCTCATCAGAAAGAGTTTAAAGACTGACCTGAGCAGTCTGTGCTTACACAAGCAATAAGAACCGACTAGTAAAGGGCTTGCAAGCACAGGAATAATAAAATAAAATAGATGGAACTTTAAACTGGATACATTTAGGGCAGAAATAAATAGCTATTTGTTTAACTCCAAAGTTCATTAACCTTTGGAACTGTTTACCAAGAGGCACTGTATGGTCATCACCACTGAAATCTGAAAATCAAGATAAAAGGCTTGTCTAAATAATGTGTTGGAATAAACTGAGATTGACTGAAGGAACTTTTGTGTATTAGGAAGAAAGTCAGAACAGGTGAACACAGTCAAGTCTTGTCTCTGTTACCTGCTCATCTGATCTACAAACAGTAATATATCGCCATGTAGTAAAGTGTCCTGATAAAAAGGTGCATGAAAGATCTACTGAGCTTGGTGGTGTTCAGTATCCTCATTAGTGACCCAGAAAAATCATAGAATCATTGAACGTTTTGGGTTGGAAGGGACCTTTAAAATTATGTAGTTCCAACCCCTCTGCTATGGGCAGGGACAAGGACACCTCCCACCAGAAAAGTGCCTGACAACAAGAAAAATGAAATTTTTGTCTTGATGAGAATTTGGAAGCAACATAAAAGTATTTAAGACTGTCAGATTTAAGAGAAATCAAAGATGCAGATTAAACAAGATTCTGATACCTACTTGATAATGAAGCTTCACAGGAAAAATATAACCACTCAGATGCTCTTGAATTCTGACCTGTATGTTCAGGAAAGACATCTGTGTGATGCATCAGACAACATAATTAAAATGCTGCCACATTTGCTGCAGCAACCAGAAAGCTAATGATGTGTTTTATTGTATAAAGTGTAGGATACTTTCTTGGTTTTTCTCTGCCCTGCAAATGACACGTGTCAAGAGTTAAAATTTCTGAAGATTTAAAAAAAAAAAAAAAAAACAAACAAACTTATGAGATTCTTAGGGGTGTAAAGGATGTTTTTGCATTAATCAAAAATAAAGTGTATCTACTCAGCTGCTATGCTGTGACTTTGAAAGATGTGTGTTACAGAGGCTCCTTGCATATCTGTCAAACTCAAAAAAGTGCTACTCCACTCTAAAGTCAGTATGTTAGGCTAGTCCGAGTACTGGTCTGGTTGAGGATTGTTTGATGGAAATTTGTGTTTTGCCTAATGTGGATGAAAAACAATTCATTCTATTTTATTTATTTATTTTTGTGTGTGTGTTTCAGGATTTTGCTCTTAAGGACATCCATAAGTATGGAAGGAAACCATGTAATAGCACCATGGATGTAGAGTTAATACATTGATCAGGTGCTCTTTTAAAAAGATTTTTGATGGCTTCATTTAGATTTAAAATATATTTATCTGAACTGCATAGCTCATTTTGTTAATAAACCAATAAAACATTTTAATAAACTTGGATTACAGGGGATGCAAATTGTCTGTATGCACATCTGTACATATTTAGGCATTGGTTTTATTAATAAATTGTTGCTATAATGCACTATTTTAAATTGCTGACAGTTGACAACAAATTAAGAATTTATTCTTTTTTGTTAATGGGTTCAATTTCTAACTAACAGTGTTTTAATTAAAAATCAAAATATTTGTATTTGCTTCTAAAACTTTTACTTTCTTTTGAAGTAGAATGCCTTTTTTCTTTTCCCCAGTAAATACTGAAAATCTTTCCCAATTGCATTTTAGAAGTGAGAAAAGAATTCCAATAACAGTATATATCACTGCTTACTTTTTTAACTACAGAAGTCATAAAAAAATGCATCTTTTTAAAATAACTATTTTTCACATGACAAGTAAACATTTATTTATTCTTTATTTATAAATTAGTAGGCATTATATCCACATAATTCAAGGTGGAACTAAAACAATAATTCACATGCTGATAATAAAGCTTTATAATCTCATCTGCTGAAACCCTTTTGTATGTAGACAGTTATCTAACTGTACAATCAGGGGCTTTTTTTTTTCTGGTAGTCTACAAGAGCAGAAAACTTCTGAAGATGCACATTTTCACTGTAAAGTTGATCTCAGTAAAAACAAAGAGTAAAGACAGTACAGATCTGCTCTTGATATAGATTCACTATGACTTTATTAAAATTAATAACATTTTTGCCAACTGGAAATGTACTCCCATAAAATTTAATTCTACTGAGTACTTACTTTGACTATTTTACATTCACCAAGTTTGCTGCCATATTTCATTTTCTTCCAGTACAAGCGAAGAGTTCAATCCATTGGATTACATTGTGCAGATCTTACTGAGGCAAAGCAGTGAGGTCAAGATGATTTTACTTTCTGGAATGCTTTTTTTTTTTTTTTCTTTTGGCCTCCTCTGGTATATAATGCTATAGCACGATAACCTAGTCAAACTGGGATAGTATAGACACTGATATCCAAAACGAGTCACTGTTCAGACTTCAAATAATTATCTGGTAATGACAGATAAATGAGATTTTTCACGTTTACTTCTTGCAGAGGTTTCCAAACCAGCCCCAGTACTTACAGAGTTCCCTGTACAACAGAGGAGAATTTCCTGACATTTACGTCTGAAATGGGCAACATTATATAAAACTGGGTTGACAGCAGAGTTGGCAAATGTGAATAGGACTATCCAGAAGAAAACTGATGGCAAAATATTTAAATCTTGTTTGTAGTTCTGGACTAAAATAAAAAAAATAATTACGATAATTGGGCTCCACATGATGAAGAAGGAGATCATCAACACAATGAGGGCTCGAAATAGTTTGTAGTCTTGCTGGGAAACACGAATCTGATGGTTTTCTGAGTAGGCCAATCCAGCATTTAAACTTCTTCTTGATGCTTTTGTAATCTGCAGTAAAACAGAAGAAAGTAACATTTACTGACACCTATAGAAAAATTCTTAATACATTTTACAGGTGCCAAAATAGATCTCGGTACACGATGTTTCTATTTTTAAAAGTGACCACAAAAAAGGCATTGCAGAATTCCATGTTTACTTTTGTTAATGGTTCCATTTCAACATTTTTACTTTACTAGCAAGGTTTTCTTCCTCACAGCTGTGAATTCACATCAGTATTATTGAAGCCGGGAGTTCTCTGCCTGGCTCTTCACAAGCCATAAAATTTCAGCATAAAATAGAGCCTTAATTACTCATGAAATCCCATTAACTTCAATTTATGACTTCATTTGCTCTATCTAAATAAATCCATTGATCTTTCCATAAATGCAAACTGGAACATAGCTAGCAATCCTGTTGATGCACAAGAACGAACAAAATCTAATTGTATGATTGCTATGCTGGTATTATAAGGTAGGTATTAGAAGCAGCATGAATCATAAATCATAGTATATTTTAAATTTGAATGGGATTTTAAGTTTTGTCAAAACTCTTAGTTTTTCAGTCATTAATCAGAATTGCATTCTGTGAATTACTCTGAATTCCTACAGCTTCTTTCATCACTATGAAAGTCTCTCTGTGTCTTGTAAACTTATTGACTGATGTAATAGACCAGCGTATGGCTAGTTTGGGGACTATACTATTCATGGGTGCATCTCATCTGTCATTAGATAGAATGTTGAATCTTGAGGGCTTGCAGAAAACTTTAAATCCAGAACTCCGATCTCAGTGTCTTCACTGATGTTTGCACAGCAGATTTAAAGTCTGATGGATCTGTGTATCTGTTGCAAACTAAATAAAATTGAAATATTTTGAAAAATATACTAAATAACTGAGGTGCCCTTTTACATTCTGCATGGGTAAAGAAGGGGTGTTTCCAAAAAGTTGGATTAATTTGGTGTTTAAGTAGGAATTCAAAAGCATGAGAACCTTGTTTCTGCTTGTATGTGTGATATATGCCATTACCAGTAACTTAAATGCTAATACTAACACTTAATAGTTTCCTTGTTTAGTTAAAGATGATAATGGTTATAGACTTTGAGAAAACTGTTAGTCTTACTGCAGTTTTCTGACATTCTCACAGAGATTGATGGCCTACAATAAGTATTTAAGATTCTGGACTTCTGGCAAAATTATCAACAGAATGTAGGTGTATAGATCAAAACCTGTGATAGAAAAATGGGCTTCTCAGTAGTTGTTAGTCCTGAGAAGGAGACAGTCTCACGAGCTGCTTCTGTAGGCAGAGGATTCTGATGTTTTAAATATGTAAAACTATTGCAGCTTGATCATATCCTGCAGTATCTACTTGAAATCCAGAAATCAGGCTAACTCTGAAGGATTCAGTACAAGACTTATGAGCAAACACTGTCTGCCTTCGTAAGGACATGCTTTGTGTAAAATACTACTAACTGATACTCACTTTGACTGTAAGAGTGCAGACTTTTAAACATTTATCCAAAAAGTGGAAAGAAACAAGTTGAATGCCCTCCTTGACTTCCAGTTTTCAAAACAACTAAAGAATCTCTTCAACCAACAGGCCTTGTATCTGTCCTATGAAAATATCCCTCATATTTCCTGATGGAGCTGCACAGGCTAGAACTAAGAATGCAAGAATCACTAGGACTGCATTTTAATGAAATGTTCAATTGAAGTGGGGTGATAGTGATAAGTTTTGGATCCCTCTCTGGTGTGCTTAGCATAATGAATCTTGATAACTACAGTGGGCACCTGGACTCTGAAGACCAGAAACTTAAAGGTCATGTATATACAAATAATGTCCTGCCAGCACTAATTTCTTTACTGGTTCTTGCCTCTTCTCTAAATCCACATGGGTTGAGTCTTGCCTGAGAGAAGAAACACTGCAAAAACAATTCAGTTAACAAATTGTGCCTTCTAATCTGTCATTTGTGGAAGTATTGCAAAAAATTAATGTTCAGATTCCGATTAACTTCAGTTACCTTTGGAGAGTACATTTCTCATCAAATTAGAGGTCTTATCTTTGTAGTCAATCATCATCATTGGTGCTGTCTTATCTGAATACAAAAATGCTTTGAAGTGCTTGCAGTAACTCAGCATCATACTGTGTGTAGTTATCATAGAGTGTTCTCACAAAGTTAGAGTGAATCTGTTCTTGGGAATGACTCAGGGATTAAGATATTCTCCAGCTGAGTTCTGGTTGCTTCCTGAATAGCTGTGTGAGAGAGAAGATCCAATTATAACATATGGGAACCTGCTATAGGCCTCATTCCTTTTTCAGTTCAGGAGGAATGGTAACACAATTTAGCATCTGTGTTATCAAGTTGGAAAAGAAGTGCAAGCATAGCAGCATGGGACTGATTTGTAATCTAGTATCTGAATACATGTTTGGGCCTCTAGCTCCCTATATACCACTGTATTTTCTAAATCTACCAGCTTAATCTCAAGTCTGCAAGAACACCGTTCTTGTCCTGGTCTCTGACCTGGGACTGTGGCATTTCATGGTATGCAGGTTTTTTTGCAATTCTTTCAACAGACTCAGAATCTCCACTGAGTTACTGTATGCTCTTCTCCTACAGCTAGTATGAGGTTGCACAAGGCAAGTACTTTGCTTCATTAGAATATGTTTGCCTGATGCATTTACCTCAAGATTGTTATGAGGTCAGAGCATAGGGAAACGAAGAGATTATGATTTTGACTATGAGCCCGATCAATAACAATACATGCAGAGCCTGGAGCGTAGGTCATAGGTTCATGGTAACATCTACATCTAGCTCTGCCTCATTTACTCACAGCCCCTGGTGCTCACCATTTCACCAATTAATTCCTTGCTCAATAATCTGTGTATTCTACAGTTTCTTTCAAAAACCTAAAATGTTCCTTATAAATAATACGTTTAGTTGCATAATAGAGGAACCAGTAATATTGTTACTAAAAAAAAACCAGGCATTCCAGCACTTAGTTTCAAGTTTTCTAATTCTTTTCCCACTTAGCTTTTTGAAGAGGAAGGGGTATGAAAAACGTTTTTTTTAAGGAATTTGGGTATCTAGAATATACACTGTGATGCCTGGTGTCTTGGCCTTATATTTCAACACCTACTCAGAAAGAGCATGGAGGCAGAGTACTTAGTTTACAGTCTTCGTCTGCAAAGTCAGAAGCTGTGGAGATGTAAGAGTACTCTAATAAAACCTGTGAGCTACAGACATATGCAGAAAGCAGAAAATCAGTAGATCTAAAATGGGAAGAATTTTTATTTCTAGTCCTGCTTTTCTTTGCTTTCCTACAACTCTCTTGTGAGTCCCTATGGTTTAAGCTTAAGGAATGCAAGATCCATTTTTATATTATTTCTTACACTAAAGTCTTTTAGCATTTAAAAGTTTGACAGTCTTTAAATATGAATAACACATAAATGGATACGAGTATTAAATACTATATATAAATGAAGGACAAACTTTATATTGGTCTTCTGGTAATGTGATGTTCAAGTATGTGCCTAGTTGAAAAGTACAGACTGTTACTTACAGGTTGAAATGCCTTTTTTTTAATCACATGCTCTTCTACTTGAGCAAATAATGCACATACTCTTTAGGTGTATTTATATACAGTGATGATACATTGATGCCTAATGAATTACTGTTTATTTGTT